GCTCAACGGTAGAATTTGTGCTAAAAATTTATACCAGACAACTTCCATATGTGGCTTGTGAAGAACCATCCATTGCAAGTCCGAAGATTGTACCATTTGCGCCCCTCGGGACATAGCTCAGTGGTGCAAATGATAGGAGTGGGGTGGTCTCAATTGAGTTGACAGCCGCAATGTGAAGGTTCGATTCCTACCTCTTACAAAGTATGGAATTGGACTCTTTGTGGGCACTAGTATGACAGCTCTTGTATCTTGACTTGCCGATGCACATCTTGCAATTTATCTCCTCCACAATGTTCTAGAGACGGAGCGGTGGAGGGCCTCAAGATTGTGGTTTAACCTTTGAAGATTGGACCCTTTGCTCTCTCTCCAGTGCCACCAACAGGATGGGCTTCATATGAACTCAACATCCCATCAATGATCAATCAACATCCAAATGAGCTTAATCATTTTGAATTTTGAAGATTTGACAGGAAAAATGTCAATGAGTGGTAATTTTGTCTTCATTCACAATGAAGTCAAACAGAAGTCCAAATAACATACTATCATTCCTTGCTTGAACCATGCATGAGCAGGGCTCGATTTACCAGAATATTTCCCTATCAAAAAATTACCTTTAATTTCAAAAAAACCTATTGTTAAAATTTCTATATTTTCAACAAAACGTAGCTAAAGGTAGCGGGGATAGGGGATTAGTATGGTCAATCTTTGTTCCAAACCTCCAGTGAAAGAAAACCCATCTCCAATTGGAGAATCCAACAAATAATCCTACAATGGCAATTAAACATCAGAACCATAATGAATACAGAAACCTATTATTTAGAAATTGTTTCTACCTCGTTAGAATAACTGCTTTAATAACGGTGGAGAAGCCATATCAAGCGATAGAGATGGCAGTGAAACAAAATTAAAAATTCTGGCAGTGAGAGTTCTGACAGAATTTCTGAATTCTGATTTGGGGCTTTCTTGGGGATGCCCTGAGCGTATTAGTTACGGGAGTAAAAAATTTAATTAGTTTAGGGTATTATTCTAATTCTTTAGTTTTGGAGGGTATTGGCCTAATTACCCCTAAACTGTTTTAGATCAACACCCGACCCGTTTAAGGTATTTATAGGTAGGTGGTCGAAAACAAGAAGGCCGGCCAATGAAACTTATGCTCCTTGTCTCTAAAGAGTTATTAGGGTTTACAAAGTCAGAATTATAATGTCACCCCAATACACTCAATCTCCTCGGCTCATGGAATTGTCAATTATCCGCTCGAGTCTCAAGTAAATTCTTAGACAACTTTAACAAAATCGCAAAATGTACCGAATTATCTACAAGCAATAATTTATTAGCTAGCTCGACTAATATGTAACTAACATTCTCCGCGGTGCTTTTCTTGAATATATTGCATTCTCTCGAGACAAGTATCTTGGTCCAATATGTAGGTTTCGATTTCACCCAATAATATAATCAACCACAAATTTTAATTCCATTCATTTACAATCCATTCATGTGAGTGGAAGAGAGACTTTTCCTCTCATCCTTACACTTCAACTCTTTAATCCAAATTTCTTCCTCTATTTAATGTCAACTTCTCCAAATATTTTCATCAGAGTAAGTAATAAATATTTCTGTTTGCAGGAAATAGAAAGGCTTGTTTTTGCTAGGCATTAATTTGATAATCAAATCCGAGCAAAAATGAGTTCTTCCCGGCTACCTGCCTCTATAATAGTTCTCTACTGCTTCCTTCTTGTCTCGACCACCACTGCCTTCAACATCACCAGGCTCCTCGGAAGATACCCCGAATTCAGCAACTTTAACGATCTTTTGACCAAAAATGGTCTCGCCAGTGAAATCAATAGCCGGCAAACCATCACCATCCTGGCGGTGTCTAATGACGCACTCGGAGGTCTTACAGGGAAGCCGGAGGAGGTCCAGAAGGGTGTTCTGAGCAACCATGTAGTGTTGGATTATTATGATACCTTGAAACTTCAGAAAATGAAAAACAAATCTGTCCTTACCACCCTCTACCAGACCACCGGCGTTGCATCCGAGGTACTGGGAGTATCCCAAACCCGTATATGTCGATTATTATTTTCGTAAATAACCAATGTGAAATTTTATAATTAACATATACAGATGCCGACTCCTTTGACAACATGAATCTTGACAGATTTTCATTTCGAGTTGTTAATTTTTTTTCATGCTCAACGAACATGGGGTTTTACAGGGACAAGGGTTTTTGGGTGTCAGCCACAAGAATGATGGAAGCATTGTGTTCGGCTCTGCCGTCAAGGGCTCCCTGCAAGACACAAAATTGTTGGGATCCGTCGCCGCGCAACCATACAACATTTCTGTCCTCAGCGTTTCTCAACCCATTGTGGCTCCTGGAATTGACGGCAGCTTAAGGCCAATTGCTTCACCACCAAAGGCGAGCGCCCCAGCCCCAGCCCCTGCCCACAAGAAAAAATCTCCCCCACCGGTTGATGCCCCTGCACCATCTGATGATACTACTGCTGATGTCCCTGCCCCGTCTGATGGTCCTAACGCGGATGCTCCTGCACCGGCTGATGGTCCTAGTGCCGTTGCCCCTGCACCGTCTGATGGTCCTACCGCTGACGTCCCAACTGCAGATAGTGATGATAAGCCAGCCAAAAATGCCGCCGGAAAGCTGTCCGGTGCTTCCTTTGGGTTTGCAGTAGTGTTTGCATCTTTCCTTGCATTATTCCACTAAGATCAATAACATAGTAGGGCAAGACTTGTGGGAAGAAAAGAAAAATAAATATTTGTTTTTCATTTTATTTCCTTAAAAATGAGACGAGAAATGTAAATTTAAGCATTTTCTCATTTCCAATCTGTAATTTTGTATAATAAAAAAAGTACATAACAAGGACATGTCTGGTTATAAGACAATTTTGCAAGAAACTGCTCAACTTACCCTAAATCAATTTGGAATTCAAAAATGCGATTTCTTTCATGTCATTCTTAATCTAACTTAAAGAGTAGAACTTGGAATTCCTTAGCAGCAGTCAGAAATACTGGTAAGAGTCGCCTGAAGACAGAATAGAAATGCAAACTATTCAAAGAAGACAAAGTATCGGTATGAGTTTCCAAGTTTGGACATAATCCTCGATAATAATAGTTCATGACTTTTAGCACATGTTTAGTACACAATACTCGACATGACCAGAGATTACCAAAAAAATAAAATTTTCAGCACCGCAAACATTCCACTATTAACATTCAGAATGCCACTTATAATCATATCCAAAAATGTAGTTTGATTGAATTCCAGTGTCAACTTCCCTTAAAAATTACTGTCATCACAGTGATCGTATAACAAAATATCAATTCTCAGAAGCGAAGAAAGAGGAGTTATCTTCAGAAAGACAAATAATCTCAATAAAAATACTCGTTTCAAGCTTTGCCAAATCAAATGCTACATTCGCATTGTAGAATAACAAACTAATACAAGTTTTTTTGCCGTCCCTACATTCAATCCTCTGGATTCTGTGTATACCGTCACTCTACCAAAGCGTGCAAGTAAAGTCGTCATCAATCACTGATAACAGCTCAAACATAGCAAATAAAGGCCTAGTCGATGATTGAAAAAGTGCACATGATAAGAAATGAGAAATAACGATGCATATTGCACGAGCACTGCCTTACCGATAAATACCGTTGCCATTGAGGAAATTCCAAATAACACAGCAGCAATTCTAATGCTTCTACGACTGAGAAAAAAACGCATGTGGTAGCATGGAATTGGAGCATTATGATGGAATTAGAGATTAATATTCAATTTAATCATCATGAATTCTTGTTTCAAGCCCCAAAATCCACAAGCTATACTAAAGAAAGTGAATCAACAAGAAAGAAATCAAGATTCTGAAAACTGAACGTAAATGGAGTGACGTTCGGGTGAAAAGAAGAATTGATAAATGGTTTTTTCCTCGGAAGTATAAATATTTATTTAATATGCCCATATTCAACGTACCCTTTTATTAACAAACATGAATTACCATTATTTAATTTAGGGATATAATAATAAAAAAAGGTAAATAAAATTTATAGTTNGGAGTGTACATGTAGCACAATCCAACTTGGAATTCCTTAGCAGCAGTCAGAAATACTAGTAAGAGTCACCTGAAGACAGAATAGAAATGCAGACTATTCAAAGAAGACAAAGTATTGGTATGAGTTTCCAAGTTTGGACATAATCCTCGATAATAATAGTTTTTGACTTTTAGCACATGTTTGGTACACAATACTCGACATGACCAGAGATTACCAAAAAAATAAATTTTTCAGCACCGCAAACATTCCACCATTAACATTCAGAATGCCACTTATAATCATATCCAAAAATGTAGTTTGATTGAATTCCAGTGTCAACTTTCCTTAAAAATTACTGTCATCACAGTGATCGTATAATAAAATATCAATTCTCAGAAGCGAAGAAAGAGGAGTTATCTTCAGAAAGACAATGAAACAAATAATCTCAATAAAAATACTCGTTTCAAGCTTGCCAAATCAAATGCTACATTCGCGTTGTAGAATAACAAACTATTACAAGTTTTTTTGCCGTACCTATATTCAATCCTCTGGATTCTGTGTATACCGTCACTCTACCAAAGCGTGCAAGTAAAGTTGTCATCAATCGCTGATAACAGCTCAAACATAGCAAATAAAGGCCTAGACAATGATTGAAAAAGTGCACATGATAAGAAATGAGAAATAACGATGCATATTGCATGAGCACTGCCTTACTGATAAATACCATTGCCATTGAGGAAATTCCAAATGACACAGCAGCAATTCTAATGCTTCTACGACTGAGAAAAAAACGCATGTGGTAGCATGGAATTGGAGCATTATGATGGAATTAGAGATTAATATTCAATTTAATCTTCATGAATTCTTGTTTCAAGCCCCAAAATCCACAAGCTATACTCAAGAAAGTGAATCAACAAGAAAGCAATCAAGATTCTGAAAACTGAACGTAAATGGAGTGACGTTAAGGAGAAAAGAAGAATTGATAAATGGTTTTTTCCTCGGAAGTATAAATATTTATTTAATATGCCCATATTCAACGTACCCTTTTATTAACAAACATGAATTACCATTATTTAATTTAGGGATATAATAATATAAAAAGGTAAATAAAATTTA